AAGGGGAAATTCAAAAGACGGTGACGCTGAATTATAGCTCTCACACTCTCTCTCCTTCGTGCTCGCGGCATGGCGGCAAATTCGGACTCTCACAGATTTCTCAAACCCGAGCAAGGAAATAGTACAGCCACCCGCCCCAAAAATTCACACCCACACAAACCCCAATGCGCCACCACAATCCTCCATTTCTTCGATCCGCGGCTGATCGGCTCGATTTTTCTCCGGCGCCTCCAACCACCGCAGCCGTCACACCAGATCTGAAAGAATTTCCGGCTCGGGACGATCCTCCCCCGCCGTTTTACTCGACCCTGACGGAGTGGTGGCTCCGTTGAAGAGGCGGTGCCATCCCTCTCACACCTCGCCGACCGTCGACATGACGACCAGCACCGACGCCTCGGCTCTCCACGACCTGGAGGCTGCCGCTTCCTCTACGTCCGCCGTGGACGGCAGTGGAGGATGGGAGGGAGAAGATGAGTTCTCTGATCCGTTCGACATCGGCAACACCAAAAACGCCTCCCACGATCTGCTCCGGCGATGGAGGGTGAGTATGCGTGTGTGTGTGTGTGCGGGTTGTAAGGTGTTTGGTGTTTGTCATGCATTAGTTTCTGATCTGTGGATGGTCGACTGTTTTATCTGTGTGCGGTTTATTTGATTTGGGACGTCCCTGTTATTGTTTCATGCACGTCTTTGTGTTTGCTTAATTGCTCGGTTTCTTTCTTTCATTTTTATTTCCGTTTTTGGCTCTTGAATATGGCTGAATATCGATCAATGAGCTTGTGTGTGTTTGTTTGTTTCCTTTTTTCCATATATTTCTACTAGTATTGCAGCTACTTAAATGGTCGAGGAACTAAAATCCTAAGAGATACATGTGCTTGATGACTGAATAAGGAATCTAGCGATATAGGATAGTGGCTTACTTATAATAATTAATATGTTTGGGAAGCTTTTTGGCTAAGGCTAGTGCGTCATTGCTAGTGCATCATTTCGATATGTATGGGGTTTGTTCTCAGGAACCGATAAGTAGCAATAGCATTAATTCAATTGACCCATGCTTCCATTTGCATGAATATTTTTTCGTAGGAGGCATTGTCGTACTTCTTCCAATGTGGGTTAAAAAGCTTACTCGAAAAGATTAATCCTGTTAATCTTATCTTGGACTGCATTTGTGTACTTTAAGTGTCCCACGCCTGGTGATTTAGTGAATTTGTTTATTTGGACTTATTACTTATCTGATATGCTACGAGCCTACGACTAAAAGAGAGAAGAACTCACTGGATCATTTCCCGTTAACATCAAGCTGTGATGTTATGCTATTTATGAACCCCCGTAGGTTCATAAACCTTTGCATCGATCATGCATATACAGTATACACACACATACACAAGCACATACTCTTATATTATCAGTTTTGTCCATGGACTATTTACTGCATATTCCAAAGTAGATATTATTGTCAGTAATTATAACGTCGATTAACACCCAAGTAAAACCTTCAGGAGTTCTGAATATTTAGCGGTTCTAACTTTCATCTTAAATTTTATGTAATTGTTTTTTTTTTTTTATTATTATGCAGAGTTCAACCATGTATGTAGCGCAAGCTTTTCGACAAAAGAATCAACAAAACGTGTGGCACATTTTACTAGCATGTTATGTAGCTTTTCCATAGTCATTGTCCTTTGTTTTCCCCTCCCGAATGCCCTTACAGAATGTGCCTGTTGTTTCTAGCAAGGCTACTTCAAATTAACGTTATTTCTTCTGTTTTTCCCTCCCCTCCCTGTGTGGGCATTTTGTCATTCTTTCATGTTTTTGGTTCTGAGCATCTTTAAGCTACCAAATCTGGGTTGATTTTATGAATAGTTAATGACTGACACTACGCTACCACTATGCTAGAGTTACACTCATATTCTATATGTACAGGAAGCAATTTCTTTGAGGTCGTTATTATGAATTTCATTGGGTTGAGATGTTTGAAGGGCAGATATGTGAAGAACATAAGAATGTCAAATGATTGATTGTGATTTTCATTTGTGTGCACCTGTCGAGTTGTAGACTCCTGAAGAGTTAAATGTGATGATGCTTTTGTTGGTTGGTTCTCAACCTACACCAATCACATTTTTCTAATTGTGGAAACTTTGAACCTTCACAGCAAGCGGCCCTTGTGCTTAATGCTTCCCGGCGGTTCCGCTACACATTGGACTTGAAAAAGGAAGAAGAGCAAGAAAAAAGAAGAAGGATGATTAGAGCACATGCTCAAGTCATAAGGGTAATACTAGAACACAATCGCTTTGATTTGCATAAAATTCTTCTTTCAATTATTAAATGCTTTTTTACATTTATTGCAGGCTGCATTGCTCTTCAAATTGGCAGGACAGCGAGCAATTGGTATTTGTTGTCTTACTCTTTTGTTCTTGAGGATATGATGGTTTTATCTTATATTATGTTTTTTCTTTCTTCACAAACATACAGAATCCATTAAGCTGAAAAAGCTCAGAGAGTGTAGACTTGATTTCATATTATACCTAGATCACACTTTTGATAGAAAGTTATAGTATGATAAAAAAATGTTTTGGATCCGAAGATAATAGGTTAGTTGCTCATGCAGTTTTCTGTATGTAATTATAATTGATCATCCTTTTTTTTAACATTGTTGGATTCATGGTGGACACCAGGACAGTTCAATCTTAATGCTTAGCATTTCTAATATTATATGGTACTTCAGGCGTCTGAATGAATTGCTCCATGATTTAAATCTTGTGTTCTTCTCTTTACATTAATCACTGACTGTTATCGACTGTGATAAATATGGTAGATCAATACGATTGGAACAATGCCATCTCATACTTTGTTGTCACTCTAGCAACAGTTTCCTTTACTACTGTGCCGCCCAAGTTTCTTGTCAAATTGTGACTTTGGGGTTCATGTTCCTTCTGGATATATGTGTGTGATAACATTCTTGTCCTTCAACTCTAGTTTCTTTCCTTCTTCTTCTTCTTTTTTTTTTTTTTTTTTNATTCTCTTGGTTTGGTTTTTCACTATTTGGCCTTTTTCTTTAATTGCTGTTTAATAAGGTTTTGTACAGAATCTGCTAATCTTATACATGCAAGAGACATGATTTATGTTGGTTTGATTCAGTGTTAGGCACTGCAGTAATTCCTCCATCTCCTAATGGAGGTTATGCAATTGGACTCGAACAACTTGCTTCAATGAACAGGGATCATAATATTTCTGCTCTGCAACAATATGGAGGGGTATGGCTTTTTCCTTCACATCTTTTGGAGGTTTCATGACATGAGTGGTGCAACTAAGTTGCTCTTGTAACACATTTTCAGGTTAAAGGTATATCGGATATGCTAAAAACAGATGCTGAAACAGGGATTTCTGGTGATGACAATGAGCTATCACAAAGAAGGAGTGCCTTTGGGTCAAATACGTATCCAGTGAAAAAGGGTCGCAGTTTCTTGGTATTACTTTGTTACCAAGTCTATGTTAGCTTCTTTGAAATTTGATGATACCCTGCAGAGGTACCTAACTATGCTGGCTTCTTTGACATTTGATTATGCTCTGCAGAGGTTCCTATGGGAAGCTTGGCAGGATTTGACCCTAATTATTCTAATCATAGCTGCTGTGGCATCGTTAGCTCTTGGAATAAAAACAGAGGTACTCTAACTATACAACAGCTTTTTTTTTTGGTCTGTTTCATACAAAATTACTGGAAATTTTCAGATACATTATTGCTAGACTTCATCGAAACAAATGCCATCTCAATTTAATGAAATATATATAATTTATAGTCCGTTTCATGTATTATTAACTACTATGCTTTTCCAGGGCCTGCAAGAAGGATGGTATGATGGGGGAAGCATTACCTTTGCCGTTCTTCTGGTTATTTTCGTGACTGGTAAGGACTT